AGCCTACTGCTCTATGCGTGAACAAGACTGACCCGAGACTGCTGATGGATGAAACAAGTGTCTGACGGACAAGACGTGAGCAGGCGGACCAGGAGTAGCAGTCGAAAACCAACAGTGAGAGTTTGGAAGGAAGGGAGCAAAAGGCCCCTGAATTTGGACTGGGGGCAGGGGAAGTGGCGAGGGGCATGCGACACCTTTATTTTCACTAATTTCTACTAGGAATTTAGTATTTCTCAATTATGAATATAGGCAGCAAAGGGCATCATTATTAGATTTGTATAGCATTTTACAGTTGATACCAGTATATTAAAACATCATTTACATTTATCACTACTTCTAAGTCATGTTGTAAAACTTGCCACTAGATCAACTGTGATCCCAGTCTTCCTCTCCCGGTGCGGTGAGGCTAGACAACGATTGGGCATCTCTCCCCCAAGCAAGTATTCAACTACCAAACAGGGACGTCTCACACTGGAAGTCCAGCATCTGCGATCTTTCCCAGTATCCCCACTTCTTCTAAGTACTAATCTACCCCACAAGGTAATCATCTCATACAAACTAAGTACAAAGTCTTCATGCTGTTGTCTTTAGAAAATAAAACTTAACTTCCCTATGTTTTAATGAATGATCTTGTAATTTAACGTACAAGAAAGCACAAATGACTGTATCACAAGTAACTTTTTAAAAAAATTTCATAAATGCATTTCAATGTAATTGGCATCTTTTGAATGATCTGTATTATATTTTATGCACTTAAAAGCATTATTCTGATAAGGAATCCACAGCATTAAGAAGGTTAAGAACACACCTGATCTAACGTGAACTAAATCACATGCTTACTCGTTCACTCAGTACTTAGGAAGTACCGACTACAACACTAGGTTGAGCCACCTGAAACTGTCAGTATTTGACTGTTTGTGACCTACCAAAATGGCAATTTCATACAGTTCAACCTAATACTTGTCAAGCTCAACCTCTGACCCCACTAACCAGACAGATATTCATGGAGTAAAAGAAACTGAAAGACTGATGCTTGGAGAAGTTAAAATTTTGTGAAATGGGTAAGAAGCTGCGCACAGAAAGCAAGAAGTCATAAGGAAGCAAAGTAACCTCAGGGAATTATCCACTTAATTATCCTGAATGAGAGTGACCCAAATATAATGTCCAATCTCTATTATTTTCTACCACCCAATAGTGATGAGATGCCTTTCCCCAAAGCTTTATTAAGGCTTCAATAATGTTTTCAAGTTATAATATTAAATAATAAAATGTCCATTTTATAATAAGTCCACATTAGCCCTGGCCAGGTAGCTCAGTTGGTTAGAGCATCACCCCAATATGCCAAGGTTGCAGGTTCGAGCCCCAGTAGGGGCAGGTACAGGAATCAACCAATGATGCATAAATAAGTGGAACAACAAACTGATGTTTATCTCTCTCTCTCCCCCTTCCCTTATCTCTCTCTAAAGTCAAATAAAATTTTTTTAAAAACCCTCATTTCCCTTAAAAAAAGAAATCTACTTTAAGATCAGTATTAAAGTAAGAATAATGCCTTATATATGTACAGCACTCTATAATTTACAAAGTTATTTCATATACATTGTTCTATTTGATCCTAACCATATTCCTACAAAATAGCCTGAAGAGATACTATCCCCATTTTTTCCAGTTATACAGCAAACACATATCCATGGGAACTTGCAGGAAATTATTAAAAACTAATTTTAACTATAAGCCAGTTTTTTCTCTTTGTTCTCTGTGTCAAGTAATAAGGTTAAAGGAGGTAAAATAGCAAAGTGCTTCAAAATTCAGTAAAACTAGGTCTGAATCTCAATCCATCACTTACTTTCTACCATCCCTAAGGAAGTACTTTGATATTGGTGAGGATGAGTTTAATAGAGTGGGAATTGTAACATCTTCAGATTAAATGAGATGCAGTAGTTAAAGCCCTCATCACTATCTATAGCCTCTGACTTACCACTAGCATTTATATTCTTATTACTATGAGAATCCAGCAATCAAGAACTCTGACTCTTACCCAGAAGAACTCGGGAAAGCAATGTGGTTCAGCAGACGCAGTACAGGCTGTAGCTCTCTAATGTCCGGCCCCAGGGTGACTCTGGTAAACTACCTGACCTCTCTATTTTGTCATCATTCTATCACTGCCAAGCAAGGGTGTCCCACCCGCAGCCCACGAGTCACATGTAGCCCAGGATGGCTATAATGTGACAAAATCATAAATGTACTTAAAATATGATGAGATTTTTTTTTTTTGCTTTTGTTAATGTTTGCGTATTTAATGTGTGATTCAAGACAACTCTTCTTCCAGTGTGGCCCAGAGATGCCAAAAGGTTGGACACCCCTGCAAAGGTTTTTGAGAAAGTAACATAATCAATGTCACCGTGCTTGGAGACGTACTTTTCCTTAATATCTTAACATTTTAAAATCTCCTATGTTCAGGGCTCTGATCAGGAGTTTCCTAAGAGCTACTACCTGGAACATCTAGAGCCAATGTTCACATGAGTCCAGAGCCTCATCTCCTTTCAGACAAGGACCGAACAATTAAGATCTTTCTTTAATCAGATCATGGATAGAAGCTAAGGCCAGCATCAGACAATACCAAAAGAAGGATACTGGATAAAAAAAATATGTGACCGGTGCACTCCCCCTCCCAGGAGCACGCCGGCACCTTTCCCTTCCCCTTTTTTTCCCCACAGGTGTGCATCTCTTAAACTCGAAGGGATGCCAAGAGACCTGCAACCAGGGCGCAGCAGCAACTCCCCTAGGCTAATCCATGAACTGTCTCCAAAGCCCCCTTTTCTCTGACTTCCCAGTGAGCCCAAGCAGCTCCACCTCTGCCCTCACTTCCCTCTAACATTTCTAGAGAGCCAAAGCAGCCCCACCTACACTCTCTCCTGTTGCTTCTTCTATCCTAAGCTCTTTGTTTCACTGTCCCCAGCAATAAAATAATAATAATAATAATAATATATTTTAAAAAGAATGTATCAGTAAAAGAGAATTATTTTCCATCCTACAAAGGTTCACCAGCAGGCTGTCACTTACTCTTGGTTTACCACCTCCTCATCCTCTGAGGATGATGCTGTTTCCTCCAGGTCCCGGGCCATCACGATTGGCATTTCCTTTAGGGTTTGTCATGCAGTCAGCAGACAGGGGCCTCAGAGACCTTTCCTTGCAGATTCACAGGATCAAACAACTTGGGTGGCACAGATACCTATGGGAGAACCAAATGATATAAAATATCATGCAATGTCTATTTGCTGATACTGCTGATGATCTTCCAAGGATATTTACCTAAATGGTGCCCAACCTCTAGAAGCTTACCATCTATCACAGTTCCTCACATATGCCCCCCAAATCAAGGTTTTTCCCCCCAAATATACTGTGTGTCCTCTATGTATTTGAAGAACTGTTATTAAGTTCAAGTTTCTCATTTTCCTTTTATATATAGTGTCTAACATGCACCAAAAAGACAGACTTATTTAACTCTTGGGAAAAGTCTGAGGTAGGAGAATGATTGCCTAAAACAGATTTTTTGCTAGAAAAACCTGACCTGGGTTAAAAGTAAAAATTCAAGATTTAAGATCCTTGCAAATATGTCTTTAGCCTCTATGACAAACACACAGATAAAATACCTTCATGTTTCCAATAACATTCAACTACTGAACCAAAAGATGAATACATTCTCCTGAATCAAAATAATAAAGAGCCAAAAAAAAGTCCTTCCAAACACTGTCAAAAATTACTCTCCCTTGTTAAAAATCACAATCTATGACCTGAACTTCAAATAAACATTAAAATTAAGATATTCCCAATTTCTAATCTAAAAAATTTCCATAGGGTAGAAGTATATGTTCACTGTGCTTGAGAAAGAATAGAACTCAAAGACCATGGAAATCTTTAAATGACCATAATCCCATAATCCAGAGATAACTACTTGAGGTGAATCTTTCCAAACCTCACTTTGCTATGCATTCATATATACAATCAAATTATCAACTGAACCCAAGATGCCGATCCCGATAACGATCGCTACAGATCTGCAGCGGAATGGGCAGTATCTAACAACCTCCAAAAACGTTCTTCTGAGGGTTCCCAATAGGATTTCTTGATTTTTCACAAAAGTTGGTATGTCCTTTCAATTAAAAGAAATTCTCCAATCAGGAAGGGATGCCAACCTGTCCTACACTGCCTGCGGAGCGGGAACAGACAGGGCAGGGCGTTCGGAAGAAGATTAAGGACACTAGCCCAAGAAGCGTCCTTTCTCTAAAGAGATCAGCCCCTCAGCCCCACGCCTCGCTCACCCCAATCCCGGGTAGGTCTGCAGATGCTCTCCGCGGGGAGGACGCAGGCTACTCCTCTGAAGCAATCACGTCCAGAGCTCCCGGAAGCCTACAGCTGCTCCCGGACTCTAATAGGGAAGTGCAGCGGACCCCACCCGCCCGGACGCGGGAGCGCACTTTACTCGGGTCGGGGAGCGCGCAGGCGTTCACCTGCCTCATCTTCCCATTGCTCGGGGCGGGCAGGCCGGGATCGCGCTCTGCGACAACTTCTCTCTTCCTTCCCCAGCCGGGCTCACCGCTGCAGCGGACGGCTGCTTCCCCCGTTACTACAACAACCAACAAGCAACCGCCCGCTCGGAGCCACTGCGCAGGCGCCCGCCACCTGGCGCTGACAACGCTCGGCTTCGGGCGCGGAAGAATGTCGTCACCACCGCGCGGCGCGGGCTCAGAGCCTGCTAGCCGCAGAAGAATCTTGACTTCTTTTCTGATGACTTTTCCTCCGCCCATAAAGGGTTGAATCCGAGCCCGGAGTTCTTCCGCCACGCTCAACAGGCGGGTTTACGGTGTGAGCGGCGTACCCTGGGTGAGATTTGAACAGCGGCAACCGCTGATTGGCAGTAAGGGTTCACGCCCCATCTCCTGCCAGAGCAGAACCGGAACAGCCAATAAGAGCGAAGACTAACAGAAACGGCCCAATCCTGTAGCCTGGTGAAGGTGGGGCGGGGACGAATGGCTCAGGTGGCCCGGAGCTGTCTTGGGGTAGCATCTTTGCTGCTGCTGCTGCTGCTGCTGGGCTGGGGGTCCGGTCTCCAGGTAAGGAGAATATTCCTGGATATATTAATTCTTTTACCTCCAATTTGCAGGTGCGGAAACCTAGGCCGTAAAGTGTAAATGATTTGCCCAGGGTCACACATCTACTAAATGGTGGCCAGCATAGGAACGCCTCTCTCCTGACTCAAGTTTTAACACCCCACCTTTGCTGGGCTGGGCCAGGGCAAAATCTGAGAATAGATGTCGAGTAATCCAGGAGGCCCTCAAGCTTTAGGGAAGTGGGGTGGAGGGACTGGTGGAGCAGTTCAGAAGAATGCTCAGGCTCTGCCCTTATCAGCTATCTGCTGGGATTTCTAAGAGCTTCTGTGAAATGAAAGGTGTAAGTTCTGTCAAAAACAGGGGGCCATCCATGCACCTTTTCTGACGCCTGGAAGCGTGACCCTGAGTCTCCTACTGAGGAAGGGTAAGAAAATAAGAATTGTGGAGGCAGGGGTGGGATATTGGCATGGGCTGTAACTGCTTGTGACGTTCGGTAAAGCCCTATTATTTATTCTCTCCGGAGTTGGACAAATTCCGCCCTGTGACCCACCTTTCCCCAAGGGATTTATTTATTCACCCTTCCTCCTCTCTTGTTCTTGTTTGTTTTTTTTGGTGCCTCGCACTATCTTAAGCTACGGCTGACTTTAATATGGATCTGTTTCAGCTAGGCAGTGTAGGGCCATACTGAAACTTTTCCTGCCAGAGTGTCCAAGGAAGCCTGATAGTTGCTCACCACTTCAAGCCCAAGAAGTTAACCCCACAGCAGAAACCGTGGGCCAAAAAACATAAGGAAGATGAAAACTGATACCATTTTTAGATGTGCACAACCTAATAGTATTTTCTATACAACTTGAAGACGAAAGAGGATATAGTATGCTTGTCTTCCTCAAAAATGGAGACTTCATCAAAATATTCTCAGTGGGGCAGCATTGCAATGTAGGGTCCAACAGACCGTGCTTCATGTCTCAGCTCAGCCATATATTAGCTGTTTAGCTTCAAGCAAATCACTTAGCCTCTCTGTGCCAACCCTCATTATAAAATGGGAATGCTATTAGGCCTACAGTATATGTTAGATGCTTGTCACAGTTCATGGCACATACCAGCGCCCAGTAACTGTTAACTGTTATAATTTCTTCTGCAACGCAGTGCCATCATTGTTGTTTCCTTCTCCACAGAATTTCCTTACTAGTGCTCAAGTCACAGCAATTTATTTAACTCTTACAGTGTTCTTCTTGGGTTATGGAGCATGGTACACCTGACAGCAGATTAGAGAAAACCTGAGGATGTAAATATTGCCCTCCCACCATTGGTTCCGCTGAAATGTGTAAGGCTTCTATGCACTTGGAAGGACCTGTCATCAGTAGCCAGACAGGTATTTGTTAGTAGACTTGTTGATACAATTACCTTTCAGCCACTTGCATTACCAAGGAATGACCTGAAAAACCAGTCTAGAAGTAGAGATATAAGAGGACTGATTCAGCCAAGAAAAAAGAATCCTGATGTAGGGTAACATTTTGGAGAAATTGCTCAAGACAAAGATAAGTATTGTGCCATTTATTGTAAAGTGTGCTGTTGATTCAACACTGTTAGTATGACTAAATATTAAGACCAATTTCTGTAAGCCTTACACATAAATCCACTTTATTACTTTGTAGTAATATTTGTACCCCTCCTCTTCTACTGCTCTCTTTTTTGTCTCCAGCTTTCCCACTGGGTTTGTCAAGTCTACCCATTGCATTACTTAGCCTTTTTCACTCAGGGCAAAGGTGAACACACTTTGGTTCAGGGCAAACATGCAAAGGCAGTGTGCTAATTCTGTGAAGGTCAAAGTAGTGTGTTAAGGTAAGTGGGGGTGGATGAGCCCAGGGGACTTGCAGAGGAATTCATGAAGTGGTGGACAAAATAAGCTTAGTATAGCCCTCCCAAGTGGGACACAGGTTAACTACAGGGCGAGAGAGCTTATGGCTATAGAAGATTAATCATCTGTTGTCTCACATTCTCTGCCTTTGTTTCCAAGGCAAGAAGCCCTCTCAGATTTCCGGGGAGTCATGAGCCGTTTTCTGAATGTATTACGAAGCTGGCTGGTTATGGTGTCCATCATAGCCATGGGGAACACACTACAGAGCTTCCGAGACCACACCTTTCTCTATGAAAAGCTCTACACCGGCAAGCCAGACCTGGGTAAGAAGTCAAAGAACTACATCTTCTGCGGGAGTGACCAAGCTTGTGGTCTGTACAGGAGAATAACTCAGTAGGAGACATAAACAAAGTGCAGGTGCCCAATCTGCTGTCAGCCACTAAAGTAATAAACTTCATGGATAGCCCTTGGGCCATTTTTCCCTCCAAAGCTTCTCTGAATACCTCTTCATTCATTTTACACTACCTTGGGCAGTCTATTAAAAAGCATTACAAGGGCAAAGGAGGAAATAGAGTTACTTGGTGACTCTGTGAAGCCACACCAGAAAGCCATAAAGAAGCTTTTCATGGTATCGCAACCATCTTCGGAAATCACGTCACGGCACACACATAGTTACATTCCACGTTGCAGATGGAGAGTTACTAATCCAAGGTCTCCCCAAACCAGAACATATTCCCTGAGAAGACGGCCCAAATCCCTCCAAGTTTGTCTCCCAAAATGAAACTTCGGAAGGTCACGGTGACCTTTCCCGGTTTCCTGAGCCTCCATGCTGACAGCGTTTTCACGTTGCAGCTCGCACTTCCTCGCGCTGCTGCGTGGGGTGGTTTGAGCTGCAGCACGGTTTCGCGGCAGCTGACAATTCTGTGTCACATTTATAGCTAACCCAGATTCAGGCTCTGACCTAGCTCATTTTTCTGCAGCATCTAGGTACAGAATGAAATTAAGTAGGCTCAGGCTCATTTTGAACAGCGCTCAGATACAGTAGGAGTAGAGGGACCTGGAAAGGGGGCCACGACAGTTTAACTTGTTCACCCTCACACGCTGCCCTCGGATGGTCCAGGAGTCCCGTACAGATTCACAGCATTTTAGAGGTTATCTGGCCTAGCCCTTTGAGTTTAAATTGAGACAGGGGTCATGTGACTTGCTGAAGGGCATAGAGCTGAGCAAAAGAAGTATGTGCATGCGTGCATGTGTGCATGCGTCTATTTCCAGCCCAGAAGTAGAGAGTGCCTCCTCCTCCTCGTGATCTGGGTGCTGTCATGGTTCTCTGCTGATCATATCAGTACTGCAGTAGAATTTTACCTGATGCCTCATCTAGTTAGGGTTGGTGAAGTATTTCACTTTCGTATCTCACCAACTACAGAAATTTCCTCAGTCTTTTCATCAGAAAAGCTATCAAGTTGGTTTCTAAAGAATGTAGCCCACTGGAGCTAACCACTAGATATTTGGTTGGCATATAGAGAATTTTTTTTCGCCTGACTACTATCCAGAGGTTTTCCGCTGAATGTCTTAGGTCAATGGCTGTACGTTACCATCACCAAGGGAGGGGGTTTTGAGAAAATACGTATGCCTAGGGGCCCACCTCCAGAGAGTAGGATTTAATTGGTCTGGTACCCAGGTCTTGGTAATTTTATAAAACTTTTTCACTTCATTCTAATAAATGCCCAGGGTCCAGAACACTGCTGCGGGGGAATATCATCCATACTTTCAGGAGAAAACGTTTAATAGAGCAGTGTCAGAACACAGAGAGCAAGAACAGGGTGGCCTTGGCAAATACTACAGAAACAGTGCTTTGTTCCACGACCATGTGCATGGGAAACCCGCCTGGCCTGGGCTCTGTCCAATAATATGGATGTGGATTCAGAGAAGACCCAGGCACTTGGGTCTCTGAAAGACCAGATGTGGCCATCATAAAAGGTTCCTTTATTTCTGAGTTCTCTCCTACACCAGCCTTGAAAGTCTGCTGACCTCCCAGGCATCTTGTATTGCCAGACCACTCTCTGCAACATTCCCCCAAACCTGTCCTGACCCAGGCTCGCTGGGCTTCCCCAGCACCAGAGTGGCGTCCAGGGCGGAGGTAGAAACCACTGCATCCAGCAGTTATTTGGTCAAGCGGGCTCTCTGTTGGATTTCCACTCCGGGAGCTCCCCTGCCCAGATGCAGTATTTGAAGAGGAGCCGAGCAGTTCTTATTCTGGAATTCCTTCCACTCCTTCTCGTTCCCATGTGCAGCTCCAGAGCCCCCACTGTGCCCAGCCAAAGGAAGTTCAGGCCCAACTCCCTGCCTCCCCTGAACCACCAGTGAAGTAGGAAGAGTTTGGAAGGGACCCTAACCTTCTCCTTCTCAAAACTCTTGCTTTTTTCTGCTACACAGTGAATGGCCTCCAAGCTCGGACCTTTGGAATCTGGACACTGCTCTCATCAGTGATTCGCTGCCTCTGTGCCATTGACATCCACAACAAGACGTATGTAAGGGAAGGAAGAGTTTAGCATCCTTTTGTTGTAACTCAGGTGCTATGTATACCCACTGTGGTCCTCCCCTTGGAGACCCGTTCATTTTGATACATCAGCCTACAGTGTGGATCATAAAAGGTTGGTAGGGTCCATCCTTTCCAGGCCTAAAGAACATAGTACGCCTAGCAGGTCTTTAAGGTTTGAAAATTCTTTTGAACTGACTTAGCAAGTTGGCAGTGCTGATCCAGGGGCCTGCATCCAACCCCCTACTTCTTTACGGAGGAATCATCCTCTCTTCTACTAAAGAAGTACAGTAGTGTGCTCTTTTTAGAGCAACCACCCACGCATACCTTATTCTCACATGCCCCCTGAAGCAGGAATGAAAAGAATCACAGTCCATGAGAGAAGGAACCTGCAAGTAAACTGTTGTGTGCTTACGCAGAGGAGGGTGAAAGAGGACCCAGGCTCCACTGTGTTCTGCTTCTGGAGGGTCCTCAGATGAGTGTGGAGTAAGCACATAGCCACAGCCTTGTCTAGAGAGTGCTGTAACCAGTGCTGGCCACTGGAGGGGGCTCGAGCCTTGTTCCCAGCAACAGCCGTCACCATGTCAAGGTGGAAAAGTTTGCTCAGGTCAGTGGGTGAGGCCACCAAAATACCAACTTCACATAAAATATTTTTCTGTCTGATCCAGACCCTCAGCACCTATGGAGGAGAGGAGGTAATGATATTTATTGAGTCCTTGTTATTTTGCCAGGAGCTTTCATCTGTGTGACCTTGATTATGTCTCCCAGTGGCCCGGGGAGGCAGTGATTTTCATTCCTGACTTTGCAGGTCTGCATATTAGAGGTGCAGTTAATTTAATCTGAGGAAGACTGACTCAAGTGGGATTTGAAGCAGGACTATTAGCCCTGCAGTCTCTCCAACTTTAATTTTTGTAGAACTTGAAACTGGTTTATTTGTTCTGGGTTCACACAGACCTCGGAAATGTTGGTTTAGTGTAAACAGCCCGGGGCTGAGAATGAAAACAAGACAGTGTGCGCTGGTCTCCGTTCTATTAGTGAAGAGCTTCGCAGCAGCAAGTGCACTGTATGCCTTCTCTGCATTTCGGTCTCCTCGTGTGTCAGATGATACTAGTATTTGTGTTCTGCCTCTCAGGGTCACTGGGAGGGAGTGAGCATTCAATAATCAGTCTAAAGGCCTTTGCCATGGTGAGGAATTGCTGATAGATAGAAGGGGTATTATCTTTTGTTTGCTGTGCTTTTTGGAATGTGCAAAAACAACTCAGACTTGTCTTCACCTCTGTTACCCGTTCATTCCCCCCATCCCCGTACACAACCACTGCAAATGCAGACCCGTGTTTCCAGCCATGTTTGAGCCTGGGACTAGCCTTTTGTCTCTTTGTGCTTCTGATGTGCCCTCCGGTTCCGTTCCCTCCCTAACTGGAAACTCGAAGGCAACTCCCATATTCACCAAATATAGAAAGACTTGCACAGGAAGCATAAGAATCAAATTTAAGACACTGTTTCCTTCTGGGGAGAAGGGAGGCAGGAGAGTGGGATCAGGTGGGATAAGGATCACAGGATGCTTTAACTGATAACTAATACTTTATTTCTTAGGAAAAAAAGTATGCGAAGCAAAAATGTCAAAATGTCCAGATTTGATGGAGGAAGGTATTGGTTGCATAGGGGTTAATTATAGTGTCCTATTATCTATAATTTTTTGTATGTTTGGAGATTTCATAATTTTAAAAAATTTCATGGTTTAAAAAAAAGATATCAGCAACCCAGGCGGTCGAGCATTCTGTAACCTGCCTCTTCCCCACCTTTTTGTCAAAGCTGAGGAACAAGTCCTCTTCCCACGAGGTTGTCACCACGTCCTCCATCTGACCGTTCTCCCAGGCTAAGCCCAAACAGCCCACATTGCAGGAGCATCTGAAAGTGCCTGAGGGGTCCTTGTTACTCACTTCCCATTCAGGCCCTTCGTTCTGTGGCATCCGTCACATGAGCACTGAGCAGCCCCCGGCCAAACACCTGCCAGGAGGGTGCAGATTACCCAGTCCAGCCAGTCTGAGTAAGTGGAATACATGAGCATGGTTGATCCAAAAGTGTCTGCACTGCCTGGAATTGCCAGAATCCAGACCCTGCTTTGCTGTAGCTAAGACCTGGAGATCCACTCCGGATGCCTGGACCATTCTCCTCTCAGTGCACAGTGGAAACCTCCAGGTTTGCCCCAGCAGAGAGTGGATGTGACCAAGTAGGCAGGTCTTCCCTAGGACCGAGTCTCCTTTGCCTGTAGCCATAGCCACTTCCTGGGTTGTCACTTGTGTGCTTCAGGCCTGACCACCCCTTTTGCTCTGCACAGAGTAAGCAGGACTTTAGTTCCTCCTTCTGTCTGCTCCATTGCAGGCTCTACCACATCACACTCTGGACCTTCCTCCTCGCTCTGGGGCACTTCCTTTCTGAGTTGTTTGTATACGGGACCGCGGCTCCCACAATTGGCGTCCTGGCACCCCTGATGGTGGCAAGTAAGCATGCAACCGCCCTAGCCCTCCCACGGGAACTGTCCCAGCTCCAGCAGGCATACCAGGGGTGCAGGAGAGCACCATGCTTACACCAGCCACTAACCTTCTCTCTGTGTTTAAGGTTTCTCGATCCTCGGTATGCTTGTTGGGCTGCGGTACCTAGAAGTAGAACCAGTGTCCAGACAGAAGAAGAGAAACTGAGGCCAATATCACCTCCTCCGAGACCTCATCTTCCTTTTTGTCTGTCTTCTTCCCCCATCCTCTCCGAGCTTTAATTTTTTTCTTTTCTGCTCGATCATCAGCCCCCTTCTCTGCCTCCAGCCTTTTACATTGTTTTGTTTTGTTTTTATTACATTTAAAGATATAACGTGTACAGAAATTATATTAATACTTAATGAACAACTTTCAAGAATTACTTTAAAGTGATGCTTCTGTAAATCCATCCAAATCAAGAAACTGCCAGCACCCCAGAAGCCCTCTGTGTGCCCTTCCCCCACCGTGACCTCTTTGAGGATCTCTTTTGAGCTTCCTGCCTTTTTCCTCTTATTTCCATCCCTTGATCTGCTTTGTGTGGGGAACATGCAGACTGTGAAACTCAAAGCTGCTGCCTCACCCAGAGCAGCTGCCACCAAGGGCTGTTTCGAGGGGCTGTCCCCGCACGCCGGGCTCCTCTCTGCCACTGGACCCGGGACTCCGAACCGCCCGAGGGGCAGGCAGGTCTTCTAAGAGGGGCTCCCCTGTGAGTGCGCGTGGCTGACATCCCTGCATCTCAGACGGATTGTGGCTGGAAGAGTCTGGGCTGTTTTTAGACCTTCTGGTCAGCTGTATTTGTGTAACGAGTTTTGTAATAAACTGAAAAACTCTCTGTTCTGATCGGTCCTTGTACTTTGACCGCCCTTACGCCATGAGCACGCCCGCCCCCCTCTGAGCCCTAGCGTAGGGGAGTCGCAACTCTCTGCCGCTCAGACACACCGAGCCGAGTGGGGCAGCGCAGCAGCCGGGCAGAGCCGGCTGCCTGCAGCCTGTCACACGTTCATTTCTCTTGGAGTCAAATCTTCCTCCTCTCCTCCCCCACCTTCAGGATTCTGAGGTCACAACCGAACAGTCAGGACCCTTTCTTATTTTCTTCCTATGGAAGAAACAGATTCTTGAGAAAGCAGAGGCAGAACACAGAACCAGGCAGCATGGAAGAAACAGCTGCGTGGCGACGGAGAGGGGAACACGAAACCCCGAGGAGAGCGCACCGGAGCGGACGGCCGTCCCCCAGAAGCAGCGCCCGCAGCGTGCAGACTCACGGGCCCGTTCGTGATCTCAGCAAGTATTTATTGAACACGTACCCCACGCCAGACACTTGGGAAGCAGAAATGACCCACCCAGGCAGTGACCCTGCCCCCGAGGTCCATCCTTTGTAGCCGAGGAAATGGACGATTTGCTACTGGCTGTCCATGTGCTTCAAACATGGTTTGGGTATGTTCTGTAGAGGCTTTGACAATGAAAATCTGTTTTTCTCTGTTCAACATTTGACAATGAACTAGAAGCAATATCTCTGTAGGTACAGGTCTCTCTGCCCACAGGCTGGGGTGTTTTTCTTCAGTTCACAGATTGACACTGGGGTCTGGTGCTGGGAGGCTCTCGACTGTTAACCATTTCTAGGTGAAAGCAGAAAAGTCTGCGTTACTCAACATTCTCCGGGCAGTTCAGCTGAGGCAACAAAACATTTGGAATGCGCCCACCCACCGAAGTGAATGGTCGGTATTTGAATTGAGCAGGTGGAGTCTTAAAGGGAAAACACCCCTTGACTCGGCTTCAGGTCCATCCCCATCTGGTCAGGCCAGAACGTAAGTAATATGTATCGCTTGGTTCCCAATCCAGTAGAGCAGGTGCGGTTCCATTCCTTTTCCCACTGGTCTCCCAGCCTGCTCTGGGGTTACACGAGAACCTGTGGGCCGAATGGCCCATGTGGCCTCACATGGTTCCCACATGCACTACTTAACAAGGCTGTCATATAGCTGCAGGCTCCATTGGCCACTAAAGACTGGAACATACACGGGCCCTAAAGGAAGGAAAATTCTGGAATGTTGCTTCTCAGGGGGTGCCCTCTCTGCTGGATGCTTCCCACTTTGGGACAGTGTTTCCGGCCCGGCAGAAAGGGCAAGCCTGCAGCTTCTCGCAACCTGAGCCCTTGCTGCTGCCCATTTGGCGGTGAGGTGCCTGCAGGGTTGTCCCGGCCCATAAGCCACTCAGGTGCTAGGAGCAGTCACCACTGGGATAGCCCAGGCCACCCCAGTGCTCCTCCAGCACTGGGGCCACCCTTCTGCTTCCTCCCAGACGGGCACGTAGAGCAGGGAGTGCCAGTCGTACGGGCATCCTTGCGCTGTCCTTGAGATTAATTTGGCAGCAGCGGGAAGCACACTGTGCAGCCAGCTGTAAGGATTCGTTCTGATACTGAGGGAAAAGTGAAGACAGACAAAGAAAAAAGGCATCGTATAAAGATTTTTCAAAAGAAGTAACTGGCTTTGCTTGAAACTGGCTTCCGTGGGGCTTCGGTTCTCACGCGGCACTTGGCCCCCACTGGGCGGCAGGACGGGCCCCGGGTACTAGTGTTCTGTGATCGTGGGATCTTTCGTTGCTCTAAGTGGAATTTAAAATAGTAGGGAAAAAAGCCAACAAGTGAAAGAATAACTGCAGGCAGCAGTAAGAATTCTAGAAAATAGCTATTGTCATCAAGAAGGGGAGGGAAGCACCTAACTTACATCACCAGGAGGTAGGTACGATTTCAATTGAGATTCCAGTGCCCGGGTAGCATGTGTCTGAAGATTTGTGGCAGATACTGAGGGCAGAGGGAGCAGCATCTGGGAGGCAGGAACAGGCTTGTTCAAGCAGTGAGATCAGTGTAACTACAATGGCAAAGTTAGGAGGTGGAAAGCAACAGATCGGAAAGGGAGGCAAGAGGCTCCTAAGGGCACGACGGGTAGCTTGAAGTTGACACTTAAATGCTTTGGAAATTCTCTGTCAGCTAAGGCTCTTTGGATGAAAGGAAGAAAATCTACCTTAAACTAGTTTAAACAACAAAGACAGCATTGGCTCACAAAACTGTAAAGTTAAGGGATAATAGGCTTCAGGAACAGTTTGATCAGGACGCAGCTCCATTTCTCTGTGATTCTGTGATTCATTTGGCTCTGCCCACCCATGCTGGCTTCATCCTCAGCCTGGCTTTTTTTATGGTGCCAAAAAATTGTTGCAGCCATTTTGCTCACATCCCCACAGTACCCTGTCTAGAAAAATAGCTCAGTGCTAAGAACTATCTTTCCCTTACCAACTATTGTAAGGAGGCATGAAGAAAAGCAACGATCTTACAGAGAGTTAACATTTGGGTGGAGATCCACGTAGAACCCACCTAAGAAAGGAGTGAATGAAATCATGATTTGGATCCTCTAGGCATGCATCACAGAAGCACACTTCCAAATAAAGGTCCCAGAGGATCTAAAGAGATGATGTGGACTGTAGAGTGTTTAGCAGACACTATGACTATTAGATTTCTTCAACAACCCAGACTTGGATCCCTTCCCAAATGATCTAAAGCAGAATTGCTAGCAGACAGGGTGCCAGAATGCCACTGGCACAGGTGCAACTCTCTGGAGAAGACGTGTACGAAAACTGGTGGCAGTTTATCCAAGTAGCAGCCATAAGGCGGGCACAACTGGGAAGGGGAGGCAGCAGTAAGGTCAGAGGAAACGGCGTTCCACAGAACTGCAGACACCGAGACGGTGGGCTCTGGCCAGCGCAGGCTGGTGCGTGGCTGCGGTGATGATAAACACTTCGGCCGCCCTTTGAGGCAGAGCTTAAACCAACAGTGTGGGCTGTCTCATCAGCCCTCACGCTCAGTGAGCCGTCACATGTCCACAGCACAGACAGCGGTTAGGGTCAGGTGCTGGAATATGGCATGGCTGTCTCCCACACAGGCCGACAGTGACCTTTACAGCCTCGTCTTTGAAAAAAGACCCACTGGGATGGTGACACCTATGTAAACGGAGGGCCACTTCTACAGAAGGCCACAGGAGCTGCCCCTCCTGCCCCAATCCTCTCCCCACCCCTGGACCACACCCCTCCAGGCCTCAGAAAGGTGCCATAATCCCACAGGGATTACCCAAAAGCCATCTCTGCCCCATCAAATGACAAGGCAGACCACTTGGACAATCTTTTATTGCTTTCGAGCATCTGGTTTACAAATAGAAAATAGATTATTTTTTAGAAGAAAGCAATGGATTTCACAAACACTTGGTGAATATATTTGAAGGGACTGAAGGCTGCACACACCTTTCTCCTTCTCAAAAAGTGAGGCCTACTTTTTCTCCACCTCTCCTCAACCCTTAACTCACTCCCCCACTGAAGTGTGCACTTCTCTGATTACATAGGGTGTCTGTGCACACACATGCACGCACACTGCCGACTCCCCGGCAGGGGCCCAAGCCCCCCAGCCCTTGCTAGCACAGGCTGCTCCGATGTGCTGAGTCCCGGGCAGTAGCCCAGGCAAAACAGCACAGTGGTCATGAGTGAGCTGTTCAGTGTACGGGAAAAGGACCAAAACATCTTCTTCTCAGGAGATGCTGCCCAAGCCTATGAGTAGAGCCAGACAGCAGGTTCAGCGGGAGAGGCGGTCAGCTTGGGTTGGCTTACAGGGAATGAATCCCTTTACATTTACAACATCTGATACACGGTCATTGCCAGAAGGGGCCGGGTGTGCAAACACCGTCCCCACCAGAGGCGGGAGACACTCACTTTGAGCAGACTCCTTCCCAGTCCAAGGCCACCTTTCCTTCCGCCCCTCTCATCTCAGAGGCAGCTTTGGATTTCTCAGGGGGGAACGAATCAAGGTTCGTTTCCAGTAACCGTTGCAGGAAGTTGGCTGGTGTCCCCTCCCTCCAGAGAAAACGAGCACCCAGTTTCTCAAGGCGGTGTCCCGACCGAGGCACCAGAGGTGACCGGGACACACAGAACCTCTGCAGAAAAGGACCCCCCACCCCAAGTCAAGCTGCCTGGGTTCCCCAACACGGGCCTCACGGGCACACCCAGAAGGTAGCCCCAGCTCCCTCACACACCTGGGCGGGTGCCTCTCCCAAGTCAGTTGCTCCTCCATGGCCACAGCACAGTCTTTCTCAAGTTTATTGACATTTGGTTTGATCAGCTGTTAGGACAGAGGGTTTGGAGACAGACCCCAACATTAGGCCAGGAGAGCCTAGGCCTGGAGCGCCCCTGGGTTTGTTCGATGGTGCTTTCTTCCCCACAGGAAGTCAGCAGTTAGTCTGACGACCCAAAAATGACTCTCTTCCAGAACAGCTACTGCTCCTTAGAGTTGGGCTTCTAAGGGTCTTGAGACACCAGAAAAAGTTAATATCCTGAATAAGCTTTCTTTCTGTGATAATTTGGCAGGCTTTCTCCATGAGGAATGGAGGTGAGGGGGGAGGCAAGGCACAAAGCCAGGACTGACCCCACCACTCGCCAGCCTCTCCCGACACCAGCTCCCAGAGCCTAGAGGGGGGGGCAGCGGGGATCGAATCTGCACTGGGTGAAAGGTGCGGTTTTCCCCAGCTAGACCACGCGAGCTCTTGAGCGGGTTCCAGAAGCATGGGCACCGCCATCCAAGCCACAAATGTTCCAGCCAGTTCCCTCCAGAATCTGCTGGTGGAGACCTTTCTGCTGGCAGAGAGAACCGTGCTGGCTGAAGGGGGGTCTGGGGGCATGTTCTGTGTTCCCTGAGTCGCAAGCACCTTTTTCTCTCAGAGGTGCTCCTCAGATGTAGTGGTGGGTACTTTGCTGGTATTGTTCTCCTCCTTTTCCTCTTTTTCCTCTTTTTCCTCCTTTTCCTCCTTTTCCTCCTCCTCCTGGAGTTTCTACAAGGCAAAACAAGCAGGCAGCCCCTTGGGTGAAGACGCATGGGACTCCACCCAGGCTGGAGTGACTCCCTATCAGTGACTGTGTAATCAGCAAGAAAAACAAAAGCCAGAGGCCATCCCAGCATCTTCGAGAGTGAGCAAAGGGAACAAGAAAAGAAGTGCCAGCCCCCTGACACAAGTGTGCCCCCTAAACACAAACTCACACACATGCACACAGCTATGCACCCCCCCATCACAATGTCATCAAAGGAAAAGCCAACAAGTCCAGCTTTCTGAGATGCCACAGTCACTACAAACCATCACACTCCGAGTGCCGCTGCTCTCCGCTCACGGTCCTTCCCCAATCTGACAGCCTACAGGTATTCTGCACTGACCATCAAGTAGCTGTCCCAAGTGCCATGTCTGCAGCTCCCTCTGAATTCCCGAGTACCCCCATTTGGAGGCAGCCCCCAGGATGAGGAATAGTATTATGATGTGCATGGAATGGATGCAACAAAAAGCAGGATCCATAATTGCATATATAAACTCAGTGACTAAAAATATGTATATATACTGAATGCACAGAAAAAGAGACTTGGGGACAGTTTGGCCTGGGCTTTCTCAGGCAGAGATGGCACAGGATTAGACGAGTCTTCTGGGTCACACTTGTTAGGGGGGGGTTGGAATTAAACATGGCCTGGAAGATATCGTGTGAGGACACCAGGTGCACACAGCCACCTTGGGCATTCACTTTTTTAAGGAGCACTCTACTTCTTAGCTCAAGGGCTCCTATAGTTAGGGAGGAGGCCTTGGGCGCCACACAGCCCTGCGCAGCCAGCACCCCTTGGCTGGAGGAGTGTGTGCGGGGCCGAGCTAGACCCTGTGTCAGCGGTGCTTCCCCAGAGAGTGTCTCAGGGCCAGTCCAGGGCAATGACAACTGTGGAAATCCAGCCTTCCCATTCTCAGCCTGGCTAACTCTTTGGCCCCAGGTCAGCCTCGGTCATGGGAAGCCTTCGTTCAGGCAACGCAAGTCAATCAGGCAGTCTCTCTCTCTGGCACACGTACGCACGTGTACACACCCATGCATGTGCACACCTGCACACACCATGTGCACACACTTGCCTCCTTCAGAGCCAATGCCCTGAAATCAGCCAGAAACACAGATTAGTGGGGATGGAAGCATAACCACCCTTCCAACTGGAAAACCCTGGAAACCCAAACCAAGACTTTCATAGTCAAGGTTGGTCATTACCCCAGCCCATAGATTCTGTATCTTTTTTACTGAAACCATACTCCTCCCTTAATAGAAAGAGCAGTGCTGGCCAGATCTGCTGTGTGCCTGGCTTTACCTGGCTCTGACAGTGACCCTAATGTGCAGGGCTCACACACACCGACTGCCAAGGCAGGCTCCAGAGAAGGGAAGCTCTGAGATAGCCCCAGCTGCCTGGAGCGGGGGCAAGCCAAGCCTGACTCTGACCTGCCCATAATAGCAAGCTGCCCCAGACGCACGTGAGGCCAGAGATGCACAGCAACACATCCAGGGACACGGACAGTGGAGAACCACCCCAGGACTTGCCTCCTATTCCTAGTCAGTGCCATTCCCAGTGCTCCAAAAAGAAGGCGGCTGAGCTGACAACCCCAGGCTTGTGTAACCAACCTGGCCTGCGTGCACAAGGACCTGGTTGCAACAACAAAATCCTGGAACCACCTAAACATTCAACCAGAGGAAAGAGAGGTATGCAGATACGAGGTTATAGAAGGTAACGGTGCAGAAAACAGTCAAGCTGTATTAAGTAGACAAGCAAAGCGGGGAACCAAACGTACACGAGCATTCCCGCTGGAAACAACACTGAAAAGTGGGCCAGAATGTCACTAGGTTATCTCTGGGCGCTAGGACTGCCGGCAGCCTTCGCGATCTCCTCGTGGGCGTTATAAAGTAAACATGGCTAGATTTCACATCGATTGACTCAATAGGTCACATCCCACACTGAAACCTCTGCAGGAGAAATCTGTCCTGTTGTAGTCCAGGCCCCTTCCCAGGCTCGTTCTACGTCCACCGAACTGTTCCAAATCACAGTTTCCCAAGCGCGGCGCTGGCGGGAGCCCACCCGCACAGCGGCAATGCCGGGTCCTCAGCCCGTCTGGGTAACGGCATGCCTGCCCCAAGGCTTCCCTGTCTCCCCGGTGAATTTTCCAGCCGAGCTCCCCCCTCCACACGCCACGGCCAACTCCAGTGAGATATCAGAGGACACACAGAAAAGTACTAACGATTTTCATCTGTCTGCCAACACGCATCTGTAACACACCAAATACGACTCTTTCGGACACTACTTTTGCCTTAGAAAACTGGCAGTTCTCGAGCGGGCAAACAGTGCCGGCTCTCACACACGGACTGCTCTTGCACTGTTAAGTCCGTAGCATGGACAGTACCTTGCCGGAGGACGGTTTAGCAGCACATATCAAGGTCTTAAAAGGACGCATGACCACTGACCCATTGCTCAAGGCAATACTGTGCTTCAGCGCAGGCGCAAACTTTCCGCTTCCCGGAGGTTAACCACAGTGCGATTTAAAACAACAACTGGAAACAATCTTAATGTCCATGGGCAGGAAAACTGTTAAATAAATCATGGCCCACCCACAGAACAGAACACTGTGCCGTCATTAAAATATGTTGTTTAAAAACGAAAGTATGTTGTAAAGGGCTAAGGAGCTGGTAAGTGTTCACAACACAGATAAAAACAAGATTCCATGTTTGTTTAAAAACAATTTATATGTGTGTATATATAACATATGGACACACACACACATACACATTATACGGGGATATGGACACGTACAAGTCAATGCAAAAAAACAGCATCTCACTTCTGGATGATGGCATTACAGGGCAATGTTTACATTTTGTACACTTTCCTGTATTTTAAATTTTGTACACTTTTCTGTACTTTTAAATTATTCTATAAAGAATATGTATTACCTCTGTAATAAGTTTTAGAGGGGTTTTTTTGTTTACAAATAGCCCACTTTCACTCCTCCTCAGATTTAATGGTTCCCAGCCGATCAGAACAGAAGGGAAACGCTTTTCTGTTGCAGGTTATACTCCTGGTTCTCTCCCCTCCCACCACCATCGGCTCCTGCCTCCTGGCTTACCCTTTCAGGGCCCTAATGGCCATCTATTGGGTCCAGTCCTCCTATGGCCATAGCACTGCCTAAGGGACTGTCACAAGCCAGCAGAGCCACTGCCTTGGGGCCACCACGGCCAGGACAGAAGGACAGCCAGGCTCCTACCTTTCCTGTCCAGCACTGACCCCAGGCTGAGAGCAGCGGAGCCAGGGCCCCAGAACTGGGCTCAGGAGCCGGGGAATAGGTGGGCACTGCTCAGTAGTCTGTGACCACAGTGACACGCCCTGAGGACCAGAGCAGGGAGGCCAGGAGAAGAGAAGGCAGCTGGAGAGGAGCCCGGGAAGGAGCGGCAGGAAGGCAGTGCTGCAACAGCCGCGGAGGAGATGCTGGTGTCCTGTCTGTGAGCGTGGCTACTCTGGGAGCTCCCCCACCCCCGCCCATGTTGCCCCATCCTCAGCCAGGGACCCATAGTTCTGCCCAGCAAGCTCCCACATACATACATTCTCAGGAGTTTCTTTGTTTGCTTTTTGCCTCCGGAGATCGGCCTTGATGAATGCTGAGGTCAAGGGGTCGAGAAGGGAGAGCATCAGAGACACTGAGTTATCAAGCAGACCAGTGCTCAAGTTCATCCATGAGAGGGAGCCCCGACTTTCCTAAGGGTCGCAGGTATCCCAGACCTGTTTTGGATATTTCAGGAAGCTGGGGGCACACTGTCACCTAACCTGATAAAGCCTAGAGACCACTGCTGCCCCTGATAGGCAGAAGCCAATGACAGTGGCTCTATACATCCCTTACATTTAGCCAGAGTGCTGGCATACATTAATCCTCACAATAGCCCCCATTTTGTAGATTAGGAAACTGAGGCTCCCAGAGGTTGGCTCACTTGTCCAAGGTCAAACAGCTCACACCCTGGGATTCCAATGAGGGTCTTCTATCTCCAAAGCCCAGGGTCATTCTACCAAAATATGGTACTGCCTCCCACGCAGATTTCCCGACAGGCCCTCCCCTCCATCCTGCGTGTGTCCCCTTGATCTGTACAATCAATCAGGACACCGGGTCCCAAACTGCCTAAGCCCATAAGCAGCCTGAGCCTCATCTTGTCCTAAGGCCCCAACTCACCAGTGAGGGCTGCTCCAAGGGTGAGGAACACACACAGAAAGATGTTCCCGGGCATGGTTCCGTAGTTGTCGATAATCTGGCCCTGGGAGATGGTGAAGATGATCCCAAATACCTGGGAAGGAACACAGAAGACTGGAAACAAGCACCCGCAGTACGTCAACTAGCCCACAGGAGAACTGAGCTGCCACAATGCAATGCCTAAACCAGGCAGGACAAGAGACAAAGAGCCACTGTACCACCAGAGAAGACCTACCTGGGCAGACATGTTGAGGAGGCCAGATGATATGCCTTCTGATTCTGGATAGGTCAGCTCCACGGCAAACTCAAATCCCAGTGGCAGGTAGCCAGTCATAAAGAACCTGAAGGCCAGACCACAGAAACAAAGTGATGGATGGCTTCCAGAACAAGAAGGACGGAGAGCCCACCTCGTCCCTTAGAACTCCTCTTCCTGCTTCGTTGCTCCCCACACAGACATGCCAGGCCCTGAATGATCGGGCCACTCCCTGGGAGGGCACACCAAGGAAAGAGACCCCTGCAGGCTGGGAAGAGGTTCATACATAGGCTTTGTACTTGGGAGGCCTCTGTACTGAAAAGCCCTGCTTCTTCTGCATCCAGCCATCGGCTGCAGGCAGGGTCAGCATTTACATCAGGGTGGGGACATCTGGAGTGTTCGGCCCTCGGCTGAGAGACTGTGTCATGGGTCAGGGCCCTGAGCTGGGAGCAGGAAGTCCCTGGATGTCGAACAGCATCCCCAAGACTGTGGGACCTGGAGGAGTTCAAGGCCATCCTTATTTTCCCCCAGTGAGTCACCAGCTGAGAAGGACCGAGGCTTGCATGTTCGCTCTCTCCCCCGCATCCCCTCTATCCCATGCATGCATGCACGCACACACTCATGTGCTGCCCACAGTGAATAATTAGGACTCGAAGCTGAGCAGAAACCACCATGGCAGGGGTACCCTTTCCTATGCTTTCTCAGACAACAGGTCTAGGAAATTTCAATTCCAGTTTCTTACACCTGCACCACACTTCTTGCTGCTTTCACATCTGTTGTCTCTCTCAATCCTTCCAACAGCTCTACAAGGCAGGCCACCTGTCTTCCCTTACACATGAGGAGACAGAGGCTCAGAGCAGTTAAGTGACATGCCTGTGGCCTAACAGACAGTCAGCAGCAGAACTGAGGCCAGGACCCAGACTTTCCACGCCCCTGTGATGTCCCAGGCAGAGCTAAAAAAGACTCGGTGAAGGACACACTCCATCCCAACAGCATAGATGGGCCTGGAAGCTGCAGGTGGTCTTTTGAAGTGCCACATGTAAACAAGACCTCTGATAAAAATAAAATGTATTTTCATATGCTCCTCAAAGAAAAAAAAAAACCTCTGGCCACCAATTGCACATCTCCACAGAGATCAGTGAGAAGCCAGCAAAGGGATCAAGATCACATCCTAGGCGGCCAGCAGCTCTAGGAGCCATGGGATGGTGCTTCCCAGTTAAACCTGTCAGAGGTCAAACTTACCCCAGTGTGCCAGCGGTGATGAACACTACCCACAGGTGCCCCAGGCTCAAGGTCATTGTGTACACCACCATGCCCACCAGAGTCATGACATAGACCGCCAGCGTTGTCTCCCTACAAGCAGAAACAAAAAGTTGACTCATGCACTTCTGACTTTAACAGGAGCATTTGCTCATTCATTCATTCATTCATTCTACAAGTATCTATCATGCACCTGCTGTGTGTCATGCCCTCTGCTGTGCACTGGGACATCTGCTCTCATAGAACGTTCTGCCCATGGGGTTGATGGACAATGAACCAGTGATCACACAGATACTTACTCAATTACATGCAGTCATCGCTGCAAAGGGTACGACCGGGGGAATACGAAGCCATCCCGCTGCACGTGCTTTCTCCTGCAGAACTCTCTCAACAGTATCGAGCTGCACTTCGCTGTGTCCCTTCCCACCCATAGCTAGAAGGGCACGGCCCTTTCCTGTCCTCATCCCCCACAAGAAAAACAATCAGGACAAACATCCGTGTGCAGGACTGCCCCGGAAGCCACCCAGTTCTGCACGTCTGCTTTGCCCAAGGTCCCATGACTGATCCCAACGCCGAGAAGTGACCCGACTTTTAGATTCTCCCTGTCATCGCTAACGTTCTTCCTGTTGCCACCTGCACAAATGCGGCACAGTTTTCCCCGCTGAATCCGAGTGACTCCAGACACAGGAACGAAGAGAGAACACTCTCCAGCCCTCAGCTGCGTGTCTGACACCAGTGAGACAGCTCCGCTTACTCCCTGTCACATTTCCCTCTGCCAGTCCCCACCGAAGGACCATGAGCAACGAGCTGGCTTGTTGCAGGCTCACCCTGCTGGTGCCCCTCCCCCCACTGCTCCCACAGGGCCCACTCTGGACTCCGCTGGGCCCTGACTGCTGTGTGGCCCTGCACTCCTCTCCCAGCTCTGTACGTGCCTCTGCCCTCCTGCCGCCACGTCAGGTCTCAGACAATGAAAGTTTCAAGCCTTCACACAACTCGCCTAAAGCCGGAAACGTGGTGGGGGCATCAGCAAATGCGTGCTATAGTTACGTCAAACTAATACCCGGATCTACTGGGTGCTAGGAATTCTCTTAAGCATTTTACATTCATTCATTATTTTACTCAACAATTACAAAAGCCCCAAAAGAGAGATATGACTATCCCTACTTTTACAACTGAGGAAACTGAGGCTCAGACTAGTTAGAACTAGTCCCAAGTCACCCATTGAGTAAATGCAGAGCTAGGATTTGAACCTAGAGCCAGGATGGGAACTCTGTACTCCTTCTACTATTGCAAGGAGGATATTAATACTCTGTGTGGTTGCTGCTTTGGAAAAACTCAAGGCCACAGCCTCTGAAGGATGCCCCTCCCACCCGGTGCTTCAAAGCAGCTGCCAATAGAGGAGATTTGTCCCTCCTCCTGCTCCCTGCATCTAGTCCGACTGCCCCCCACTGCAGAAAGCGACTTCGTGAGCACCATTCTGTCTCACTGACCCCACCAGCTCCTCTGTCACCAGGTCTGCTCAATCACAGCTTCACCTTAACCACTGACCCATCTAGAAAAACTCTGCAGTTCCAGCCTGTGACAAACGGGCCTGACCACCCGATTCCAGCCTCCAAACCAGGAAGGACAAATCCGGGAGCCTCAGGGAGAAAAGGTCCCTGGGGACTGGCACCCCGAAGACCAGACGACAGTTTTCACTCATCATCTCTCTGCCTGGGCAGCAGTGCAGGGATTGCCTCCTGCCGACCATGGGATCTAGGCATCGAGTGACGCAGACAAACTGGTGATGTCTGGGTCCCGAAGTGTCCTCCCCAGGCCTTTTGCTGCATTGTCATCTGCATCATCGGCAGCCCACGTTCCAGCCTAGTGACATTCCAGTGCCTCCTTCTCCTGCCACAGAGCGAGCCCCCCAGACAGAGACAGTGCTGTTCACTGGTTTGGGAGAGGCCAGTCCCCACTGCTCTCGCATGTGGCTGAAGCAAGTAATTGACAGATGACAGAGACGAGATGGCAGCCAAGCTCCAGCAGCCATTCATTAAGCCAAGCCAGGTCCTTCGTCATGTTCCGAGAGGCAGCCACATCCCCGGGGATGGCCCCAATTGGCCTTTGACGAGGGCGGACACAGTGAGACCTGGTCTGACCAGAGCCTCACAGAAGTGGGTCTGTGTGGCAGAGAACAGGTCTGCCACTGTCTGTCGCCTCCAGACACTGGGAACTTCGGAGGCGCTGACAAAGCAGCCCAGAATAGTGCCCCGCCCCAGGGAACAACAACCCTGGCAGCTGCCCCACTGGCCAGCATTAATGGAGCACCCAATGCATACAGAGCACTAAAAAGATGCAGTAAGAAGAGAAGGATACTGGGCCTCTGTTTTTTCCAGAGCCTTTTCTCTGAGCCTGGCTCCTGAACTGAGGCAAACTGAGACAAATGCGGATTAAGGCGAGTGCCCCTCTGGAACTGGCATCCACGACGGCAGAGCCCAGGAGTCTGAACTTTTAACAAGCATTCTGGATTAGTCTGGCATGTGAATGCACCAAAGTCTCAGAGAGACCACTCTAGGCTCTCAGAAATGCACTGAGCATTCAGACCCAAAGTACATCGCACTATTCACCAAGAAGGTACAAGCAATTACAAGATAATACACTGCGAACCAGAGTAAGCACAGAGCACCACGGTGAGGCCCATGTGGTCTGAGAGGGCCATGGGAATGGGCCAGTGAAATCACCCCTCCTTCCATTGTCTGGGGTTTCCCCAAACATTCCATCTGCTGGCAGTTTTTCTACATTTGCTTTCACTTCTCCTCCATTGACCCCTTCCATGTCTTTGGGGAGCAGGGGTAGGGGACAGGTACTGCATTAGGTCTCATGTCCTTTTTCTCTAATCTCCCAAAGATCCCCCACAGGGTGGGTGTTGTTCCCCTCATTTTATAAATGTGGAAACTGAGGCCCCAAGAAGATAAATCTGAACTGCCCACTTGAGCACTCAGCTGCTGCGCCCACACCTTTGGAGCCATATTACTAGTGAATATGTCATTTCAAACCGAGTCCCCGATTCTCAGTCCAAGAGGAAGGGTCACTTACTTGTAGGTTTTGGACCTATCCAGCCAGATGCCTGAGATCATAGCCCCGAGCATTCCTGCAATGACAATGGTCAGGCCTATTCTTCCGGCGTTCACCTCTTCCCCCTAGGAAAGAAAACCACAGCCCCCAGAGATCAGCCAGCAGCAGGACATGGACAGGACAGAGCACAGTCACCACGCAGTGAAGGGGGGAAGGCAAGGAACCCTGGCTCCATCAGAGCCAGTCCTCTGCATGTATCGGGGCAAGACAGTCTGTGAGAAGCTGCCAATGGGGAGAAAGTCGTAGAATAGATGCTCCTCCCAACACATTCTCAGGACCCCGGAGGTGTGTGTATGATACTGGATGCCGGGGTGAACCGAACTCCATCCTTAGAACCACTTTCGGGTAGAGTTTTTTAAAACACGTAATCCTTAGAACAACTCTTTTATCTTATTTATCATTACTCTCACTTCCCAGAAGGGGAAACACATGCATGTCCAGATACCCCGTACATCGGTTTCTGGAGCTGTCAGTGCCAAAAGAAATAGGAAAATAACAGATATATATATATATATATTTTTTTTTTTGAGCCCTTGTTATTGAGCCAGGCACCATGCTGAGGGTTTAACATCATTATCTCATTTAATTCTCATAATTCCCCATTTTTCACATGAAGAAACCGAGGCACAGTGAGATAAACCTATTAGTATTGCAGGTTCGATTCCCAGTCAGGGCACATGCCTGGGTTGCAGGCCACGGCCCCCAGCAACCACACACTGATGTTTCTCTCTCTCTCTCTTTTTCCCTCCCTTCCCTCTCTAAAAAAAATAAATAAAATCTTTTTAAAAAGTCTTTTAAAAAAACCTATTAGTCCAAGGTCATGAGGCATTTTTAAGTGCAGAACTAGGACCTGAACTCAGACCTGCCACACTCCAAAACTGGAGCACTTAGCCACGGTGGCTGCCTCTGCGGTCATGAGACCCTGTCCTTCCACAAGGAGGCTGGACTAGGAATTCCTGAATCCAAGACACTCAGTGTCCCATTCCCAGCATCCAACCCTCAGTGGTTCTGGAAACATTTACAAAATACTTTCAGTTGAGTAACTAAGAGTCCAATCAAAATCAGACATGGCCCATATTTTACAAATTAAATATTTCAGATGCAACTCTCCATGTATGTTTACCTACTGTGTTGCTAAGCACCATGCTATACAATTTATGAGTATGTAATATATATGAATATATAGAAATACAATACTATTTACTTTCTAATCCTAAAAATAACCTTTCAATAAGTAATTATGCTTCTTTTGCAGAAAATAGAATGAGAGCTCAGAGACGATAACTAGCTTGTCACACAGTTTAATGCCACCAGAACTAGGGTTGAGACCCTCCAAGTCCCATAAGCATGCCACCACACCACGCTGCCTAGAAGTGGGGGAACCAAGAGTTAACTGCTACCCCAGCTCCTGCTGAGACAGACCCAGAAACCTCAGCCCCTCCGGGCCCAGCACACTTCCGGGACCCCCTTACCGGATAGTGTAAGATCACCATGCGGTTCAGCAGAGTGGACAAGGCATAAAAAGCCCCGGTATTCAGACCTACAGAGGGAGGGAGAAACACACAGCATTAGGGTCGGCCTTCTGCTGGGGGCACTGCTCACTTCTCCCAGACGTTTGCGGGGTCAGAAATCCCTATCATCACTGCCACTGTTAGTGGTGTCCTCAGAGAAGAAAAACCCAGGCAGTGTGACACTACTGTGCAGTTTTTCTCCAAGAAATACTCCAAAACAACCAAAAGTAGCCATTTCAACTTGCTCTCAGCTGAACTCCACTGCCCTCTGCTCCTTCTAACCCTGCCCTGGGAACACAGGGAAGTGTTGCTCAAAGGTCAGAATCATCAACATTCCTCTCTTAAGCCTTGGTCAGACCCAAGTGGTAAGTAGAATTACTGGACACCTTCCACCTCCTCCTAATGAACCAGCCCCCTGCAGACTGCTCCAGACCTTTGACCCCTGACACCGCTCCCTCTGTGGGTGGTTTCTCACCTCTGCCCCCATCCCTCCTTCAGCTTTCTTCTCAGAGTCAATGTCACATAAAATCTTACATTTGAAACCTGAAAGGACCCTAAGGAACACTTTGTTGCCTCTCCTAATTCACCGATTCATTCAACAAATAAATGGAAAACCTAGAATATACTGTAAGAATCTGTGATTATAGAGGATGAGATCATTTGTCCAAAGCCACAGAGTTAGTAACTAAGATGAGACTGGAACTGACCCAAAGGAGAAAGGGCCTCCTGCCCCTTCTTCCTAATAACGATGATGATGATGATGATGACGACGACGACAATGATGATGATGACAGCAATCCATACTTATGTAGTAGACCCTGTTCTAAGCATCTTACAATCATCCCAACAACACTAGAAGGCAGGTAGTGTTAACCATCCCTAGTTTACTGATGAGAAAATGGCACACGGAGTTTAAAAACAAATACACCAGGAGACTTGTTAGTTTTGACTAAACGTTGAGGCTCACCAGACTACCAACTGGCACCCTTGACATTAGATCCACTTAGAAGGGACACAGCTCTCAGACAGGGCAGCTTTAGGAGTTCCTCTTCAGCAGGACCAGTCCACAGGACCCCAGTCCACTGAGCTATCAAAAGCTATTCTCTTTGGTCCCCAAGGTGATGGCTCAGGTGCAGGGATAAGTGGCCATGGCAACCACCCTGGTTTAACACCTGGCAGGAGCCACTATTGCTTGTCACAACTCCACAAGCATAGCTTCCAGGGTCCCCACAAAGGACCGGACAGCGAAAGAGTCACCATACTTCACAAAACACAAAGAATGGCTTCTTACCAGTTGTGAAAAGGTCTCCCAATCCAGTTGTAGTCATTTTTAATCACAAGAAGTCGTTTTTATCATAAGCAATGTTGCGTAGTGCAGCTGACTTACTCCCTTCATCAGGCTCCCAGAGGAAGGAGATACAAAGTTAAGTGAAGGTCAAGTTCTCATGCAAAATGAGAAGGAAAGTTTTGTTTACCATTCCCACAATCACACAGGTAGTAAGTGGCAGAGCTGGACTTGAACCCAGATGATACGGCTCTAGAGTCCTTGCTCTTAATCACTCTGTTTTAGACCCTAAACAAAAAAATGGTTCTCGTGCATTTCCCCAGCTCAGATTACTGAAAATTTCCTGGAAGCCCTGCCTCTCCCAGCAGGTCATGTCAGGGATTCAACAAAGCTGGGTTCAAGCCCTGGCTGGCGTAGCTCAGTGGATTGAGCTCGGGAGGGGAACCAAAGTGTCCCAGGTTCGATTCCCAGCCAGGGTACATGCCTGGGTTGCAGGCCATGCCCCCCCAGCAACCGCACATTGATGTTTCTCTCTCTCTCTCTCTCTCTCTCTCTCTCTCTATCTATCTATCTATCTATCTATCTCCCTTCCTTCCCTCTCTAGAGATGGATAAATAAAATCTTAAAAAAAAACACACAAAAAAACAAAGCTGGGTTCAGTGCCACCTCCTGAGGGGCACAGGGCCACAGGGAGTCAGCAAACCAAGGAGTGCCAGTGAACACCACTATGGCTGCACACAAGGCCACAAGGACTTTGTCAACATGAGAATGTCCAAACCTGCCGAGAAGACTTATAAAAGTTACAGGAGGCAGAGAATATGCCTGGAAACAAGAGTTCAACAGACTGGGGGAAATGCACCAGGAAATCACAGTTTACAGTTTCTTTCACTCATCTGAGGTTAGGAGAGAACATAAAGAAGAACACGCGAAGGTGGAGGGAAGCAAGTCAGTGACTGGATTCCACGCAGGGGTGTCCGACACATGCAGTTCAGGATGGCTATGAGTGTGACCCAACACAAAATCGTAAATTTACTTAAAACATTATGAGATTTTTCTGTGACTACATGTTGCAAGGTATTTAATGTGTGGCCCAACACAACTCTACTCCTTCCAGTGTGGCGCAGAGACGCCAGTATTTTGGACGCCCTTGGAACAGGATAGTTAAGGTTATGTGCTCTCTTGAGGGCAGTAGCACTATGGGGGCGGGGTCTGAAAAGGTGGTCAGGTATGAGAAGGAGTCATCTGAAAGGGGGCATTTCAAAGGTGTGCTAACTTAGAGGCACAGAAACATAGACAGGGCTTGCTTAAGGCAAAGACAAGCCTTTCACTAAAGAAATTATATGCCTGGGTGTGACCACCCATCATGACCTACCCAGTTAGGGCTTTATGATCAGATCATTCTGTGAGATTACTTTCCATAGAGCTCCTTTTTTTTTTTTTTGTCCACAACTTTGAGACTTTCAGCAACTTCTTACACAACGAGCACAGCCAACTAACCTTTACACCATATACCCAGCCACTCGGAAATTCCATTCCCGAGTCAAGAAGGCCCATAAAGAGACACATTCCTAAAAAGGGTGTTGACCCATTCCTAAAAAGGGTGTTGGGGTGGAATGTAGGCGGGTGAAGAATGAAAGCAATCCCTAGTCCTGCTCCTCACACCTCTCTCAGCCCCTCTCGACCTCTGGTCCGAGCCTCACACTGTAAGGGGCAAGGAAACGCTCCAAGTCATGCTCAGCTTCAGGTGCAACTGCTACTCTCAGCTTGGGCCCAACAGGAATGAAGAAGGAGGGCCAAGTCCACAGAAAGCACAGGGAGATAGATTATCCTGGAGCGAGTCAGGATAGAAAGAAGTTAGGGAAAGCTCCTGACAAGTGAAATGAGAAAGTAGGAGCAGACACCTCAGGCCAATAAGCCTCTAGGTCCTCTCATTAGAGCCGCCACCTCCATACATGATCAAAGGGAAACAGTGTATGGCAGGGAACTCCTATAGTGGTCACAGAATTCAACAACAAGGACTGGCTAAAACCAGATCAATCTAAGATGGAGGGAAAAAATGACGAGAGAACAACCCCAAAGCTCATCATTATAATGAAAGCTGACACCACAAGTAGAAGGGGGGCCAAAGGGGATAGCATCATGATACCTCTGGAACAGACCATATTAGGAACAAGACCCCCTCCTGACCAGAAGGTGAAGACAGAATTTGGCACCATGAACACCATGACATTTCAGAATGGACCATATTAGGGAAAAGGACACCCTCACAACCTAAATGCAGAGTCGGCATTTGGCACCACAAAGTTCAGAGTCGATCCACTCTTGGAAACATACAAGGGCTGTCGGGAAAAAGTCCAACCACTGTTAATATAATGAGAACAGTTTGTGCAATATTGATGTAACCTGGCAACCAAGAAGAGTGGACTGGAATGCATATGCATGAACAATGATGACTTCACTGTACTAAGGCAGTGGGGGCGGTAGACACCTCTGAGTGAATTGTGTACTGTGTGACCATCACATTCAAAATGACTGAGTGAGTAGAGCAACAAATCTGCATCAAATTTTGCATTAAATTTCTCTGTGGAAACTATTTGAATAATTCAGAAGGTGGGAGCTATAAGCAACTGGTGATTGGCAGCTGCATCATGAAAACGCACCCACCCATGCATCACATCTTGTGCAGAGTTTTCTGGCAAAACTTCTAGTCACCCAAGTGAATCAGCCCCCCTACAGCCCAGATTTGACACCATGTGACTTTTGGCTTTCCCCAAAACTAAAATCACCTTTGAAGGGGAAGAGATTTCAGACTGTCAATGAGATTCAGGAAAATACAATAGGACAGCTGATGGCAATTGGGAGAACTGTGTGAGGTCCTAAGGTGCCTACTTTGAAGGGGACTCAGGCATCATTGTCCTATGTACAATGTTTCTTGTACCTTCTACCTTCTTCAATAAATGTCTCTTTTTTCATATTGCATGGCTGGATACCTTCTGGACAAACCTCGTATAAAATCACAAGAACTGACTGACCCAGTGAGCAACTCACGTGTGAGTTCTACTGTGTCCACTCAGACATGTACTTCTCTTCCACAGCAACTAGGTGCACAGCAGCTCATCCTGGACTCACCCCCTGACCCTTTCTCCAGAAACCCACATCCTTGCCTCTTTCTCTACCTAAATAACATCCGCTTTCACTCTCACTCAGACTTGTTCTTGAATTCTTTCCTGCGTGAGTCAAGAGCCTGGAGGTCCCGGAATGTGCTGGGACAAAGCAGCTCTGGCTTGGAGCTCACGACTGGTCCAGAGACAGGATGACTGGGACCAAAAAAAAAAACCCCACCTCAAACACCAGCGCTTCCATGACCCTGAGAAAGGCAGAGGGAAGCAGAGTTCTAAGCTGGTTAACCTGCACTGCTGAAGCTGAGCACTTACGTGGGGACTCAGTGGTTTAGGGAAATTGGTTCCAGATCAGCAACAACCTCAGAGCTTGTAAGAAATGCAGATTCCTAACCCTGGCTGGCATAGCTCAGTGGATTGAGCACAGGCTGCGAACCAAAGGGTCGCCTGTTTGATTCCCAGTCACGGTACATGCCTGGGTTGCAGGCGAGGTCCCCAGTGGGGGCCACGTGAAAGGCAACCACACATTGGTATTTCTCTCTCTCTTTCTCCCTCCCTTCCCCTCTCTAAAAATAAAAATAAATAAAAATCTAAAAAAAAAGTCAACACTGCATGCTATTTCTGC